TGCTCCTAGTTTATACTAGAAGAGCTTGTTGAATCCTGGGGGATACGCCTAATTTTATTCATCCTGGTGTGGGCGAAATATTCTTAAGACAATGTCCTTGACATGCCTCAAGCTAAATTTTATTCTCCGTAATCCGATATTTTTCCAATAATCTTAAGGATATTTTCCCATTGTTATTATGGAGAATAACACTGCTAATATTGATGTTGATGCTACTAAATATGCTGCACCATCACCAATTACCTATGCTAAACCTTTTCCTGATGTTTCGAAAATTGAGGTTTTTGGTAGAGATAATTTTAAGCGCTAGCAGGAACGTGTGTATTCTATTTTGGATGTGCATGGAGTTGTTGTAACACTTACTGATCCTAAGCCAACTGAAGCATCTTCTATTCAGATAGATCAATGATTTCAAGCTAATAAAGTATGTAGACATACTATAATTTTTACTCTTTCTAATGAATTGTTCGATGTCTACGTTTCATACAAGGAGGCAAAAGAGATTTGGGAGTCAATGATAATAAAGTACACTGCTGAGGACGCTACCAAACAAAAATTCGTGATTGGAAACTACTATAACTGGGAGATGACGGAGGACAAGGACATAACTGCACAAATCAACGAATATCATAAGTTGATTGAAGATCTCAAATATAAAGATATCTCTCTGCAGAATAGTTTGTTGCTGGTGTGCTTATAGAAAAACTTCCCAAATCTTGGAGTGACTACAACCAATAATTGAAACATAAAAACAAGTTGTTGTCGCTGAAGGACTTGGTCAAGCACATTATAATTGAAAATACCAACTGCAAGCAAGTTGTTGTTGACAAAGGAAAGGAGATTGCTACAAGAGCCAACCTTATGGAGGACAACAAGAGGCAGAACAAATCAAACAACATGTACGATAAAAGAAATGGTTATAAACCCACAACCAACAATCGAACCTTCAAGAAAAAAGGCAACTGCTTTGTTTGTGGCAAATCTGGCCATCATGCTACTCAATGCCGGAAGAGGGCTAGGAATGACAATCCCGCTAAGGCTAAAGTAAATATAATTGAAGCCAAAGCGGATGACATAATTATTGTAGTTGTTTTCCAAGTGAACCTTGTGGCCAATGTGAAAGATTGGGTGTTAGATTCTGGTGCCACTAGGCACATGTATACTGATAAAAAAGACTTTGTGTCTTACAGCCAAGTTGAGAAGGGAGAAGAGGTTGTATATCTTGGTGACTCAAGGACTACTCCAGTTCTTGGAAAAGACAAAGTTCTTCTCAAAATCACATCTAGCAAAACTTTGGCATTGAATGATGTGTTACATGTTCCTAATATCCGAGCCAATTTGGTCTATGTGGGATATTAGAAAAAGTGGGGCTGAATGTTTCTTTTGAATCTGATACGTGTTGACCAAGAATAATAATTTTGTTGGCAAAGGTTATTATAACCATGGTTTGTTTGTACTCAATGTTATGAATAAAAATGCTAGTTCTTCTGCTTACTTGATTGACTCTTTTAATTTATGGCATGCTAGATTACGATATGTTAGTTTATCTTACATTAAGAAAATGTATTCTTAAGGTCTCATTGCAAATATTGATAAGTGTGAGATATAGCCCGAGGGGCTGGTATTGTTCTGAGATATTGTCCGAGGAGCAGATTTGCTGACATTGTGCCCGAGGGGCGAACCTTTATGTGTTTATATTTCTTATCTGTCTGTCATTTACCTGCTTAATTGTTTAAAGGGTATTTTCCTAAGGTTTAAATTGAACTTAAAAGATTTTACATATCTTTACTGGTTTTACTACTTCATCATAGCCTGTAATGTGCCTTACGTGTTTTCATGTTTCTCAGTCGTTTATTTATGATTATTACTCACTGAGTTGGAGTACTCACTTTACTCCCTGCAC